CGATCTAGGGATGTGGGGCAGGGTTGTAGGGTGCTGGGCAGGGCTATGGGGCTGGGCGGTGGGGGGTGACGTGTGCTGACCCTCGGTGTCCCCCCGCAGCGGAAGCCGGAGGAGCAGCCCCTGGAGCTGGAGGAGGGGGGTCCCGAGAAGCCCCTCAAACCCTCCCACAAAGCAGTTGCCTTAAACCCCCCGGCCAAGGGCTTGTCCTCGGCGGCCCCCGGGCCCCCCAAGCTGTCCCCTTGCTGCCACTCTCCGGCCCTGCGGCACCCGGCCAAGTGCCCCGTGGCTCTCCCCGCGGCCCCCTGCACTTTACCCGTCTGCCCCGCCGCCAGCTCCGCCGTGGCCCCCCGCTCCCCGGCCGACAGCCCCCTGCCCGTCCAGAGCAAGGGCAGCGAGGGCGAGGACAAGCGCGGAGAGGGACAGCCACCCCGCGACTACCCCAAGTCCCTGGAGCCAGGTAGGATGGGGACGGCGAGGATGAGGATGATGATGAGGAGGAGGGTGGCTGCGGTGCTTGGGGGGGGTCCTCACTGAGCATCCCCCGCTTGCTTTGGGTCTTGAAGAGAAGACTTAGGGGGGATCTAATCAATGTCTATAAATACTTCAAGGGTGGGTGTCAGGAGGATGGGGCCGGTCTTTTTTCAGTGGTGCCCAGGGACAGGACAAGAGGAAATGGGCACAAACTTGACCATAAGAAGTTCCACCCAAACACGAGGAGGAACTTCTTTCCTGTGAGGGTGGCAGAGCCCTGGCAGAGGCTGCCCAGGGAGGTGGTGGAGTCTCCTTCTCTGGAGACATCCAAACCCACCTGGACACGTTCCTGCGGGACCTTGAGTACTGTGTCCAGTTTTGGGCCCCCTACCATAAAAAAGACATTGAGGTGCTGGAACGAGTCCAGAGAAGGGCGACAAAGCTGGTGAGGGGTCTGGAGAACAAGTCTTATGAGGAGAGGCTGAGGGAGCTGGGGTTATTCAGCCTGGAGAAGAGGAGGCTGAGGGGAGACCTTATTGCTCTCTCCAACTCCCTGAAAGGAGGGTGTAGAGAGATGGGGGTCGGTCTCTTTTCTCAAGTCCCAGGCGACAGGACAAGAGGAAATGGCCTCAAGTTGCGCCAGGGGAGGTTCAGGCTGGATATTAGGAACAATTTTTTCACCGAAAGGGTTCTCAGCCATTGGAATGGGCTGCCCAGGGAGGTGGTTGAAGCCCCATCCCTGGAGGTGTTCAAAAGAGGGGTTGATGTAGTGCTGGGAGGTATGGTTTAGTGATGATGCTCCTTGTTTGTTGTGTGGGTGTCTATTTTTGTCAGTCAGGTTGACGGTTGGACAAGATGATCTTTAAGGTCCCTTCCAACCTAGAAGATTCTGTGATTCTGTGACCTGCTCTGGGTGGCCCTGCTTTGGGCAGGGGGTTGGAGGAGATGATCTCCAGAGGTTCCTTCTAACCCCATATCATTCTGTGATTCTTCCCCACAGACCTGCCCCCCGGGTACAGCTACCCCGCCGCCGGCATGGGCTTCTCCGAGGCGCACTCCGCCGAGCCGGCCGACCCCGACACTATGCACCCCAGCTCCCCCCCCGCCGAGCCCGAGCAGTCCCGGACCTTCAGCCCCGCCGCGGAGGTGCTTCTCCCCGCGGCCCCCTGCACTTTACCCGTCTGCCCCGCCGCCAGCTCCGCCGTGGCCCCCCGCTCCCCGGCCGACAGCCCCCTGCCCGTCCAGAGCAAGGGCAGCGAGGGCGAGGACAAGCGCGGAGAGGGACAGCCACCCCGCGACTACCCCAAGTCCCTGGAGCCAGGTAGGATGGGGATGGTGAGGATGAGGAGAGGGAGGAGGGGGAGGTTCAGCCCCGCCGCGGAGGTGCTGCGGGATCCGGCCCCCCCGCGGGAGCCGCCGGCGGGGGGGACGATAAGCGAGGGTCCCGGGGTGTTGCTGCACCGTCACCACCTCCTCCTCACCCCGGGACCCCTCTGTGGGGAGCGGGGACCGGCCCCGGTTTCGGGGACCACCGAGGACCGGGCACCGGTGGCCTTCGGGGTGTGCCGGGAGGCGGCTCAGGGAGCGCCGGAGCAGAGCCCACCGGAGCAGCAGCACCCGGTGCCCGTGGCGGGGGCCTCCCCGCTGCCCCCGGCCACCGAGGAGGAGGAGGAGGAGGAGGAGGAGGAAGAAGAAGAGGAGGAGGAAGAAGAGGAGGAGGAGGAAGAGGAGGAAGGCGACAGCGAAGGCTCAGAGCTGGAAGGCAGCTGCGAGGAGGAGGAGGAGGGCGATGGCCCCGGCGGGCAGCAGGGCTGCCTGGGGGGGCTGGAGGCGCTGATCGCCGCCGGCATCGACCTGGGGGAGCTGCCAGCGCTGGAGTCTCCCGGGGAGCCCCCCCCGGCCCCCCCTTCACCCGCCCCCCACGCCTCAGGGATCCCCGGCATCGCCCTGCTCAGCGAGCTGGCCGACCTGGAGCTGCGCCGGCGACGCTGCGACCTGGCCCTGGCAGGTGAGTGTCATGTGTCCCCTGGTGTGT